TTAGAGCAACATAAGATGGTCTTAAAAACATGACCATTTAGTAAACCGAAATAGCTCAAAGTGAATAGTCTGTGTAGCTATTTGTCTATCTATCTCTAACTCATCAAGTAGAAATCATACGACCACTATACATTTATTTCTTTTTACATGGTGCAACCATTTGGGTGAAGAACGATATTTACTTATTTAGGCACATTATGGTCTTGATTATAATATACGGAGTGAGAAATACCCCTTTAATTGATTGACATATAAAACAGCAAACCTACAAAGTACAAATCTATCAATAAATAAATAATTTGTCTCGGCTTTGATTCTTTTCTCCACAAATATCAAGTTAGAATCAAGCCATTATTGCATATCATAATTTGGTAAGACTTCACTTGGTAATGAACTTCGTAGACGTACTCCATGACTTGCTTCTTTTCAAACTCATTAACTCGAGCTCTGGTTTCTTCGAAATGCTCCTCATCAACCCAAAGGCAAGAGCTGAAATGCTCATCCATGTGAAATCCAAAAAGTACCACAAAAAGAAAATAGACGACAAATTAATGAGTACATCTGAAGAATAAAATCTGAGGGAGAACAAAATATGCTCAAATTGGTTCAAGTTATTTTAGATAATTTTTCAAACTAATAAATCTACTGTGATCTCATTAAACAAAATTAAACTTGAGCAGTGATGTAAACACATTACATAAAATATAACATAGAATTGCAATTACATATAATCAATACATTGTAAAAAAGATGGCACAAACCTTGACATCACGATGAAGAAGGTGGTTTAAGTGCAAGTAATCAAGAATCATAAGCAAATAAACTAACCATTGACAGAGCTTCTCATTGTTTTTTTGGAAGAAGGTGGCTTATATTAAAATAACAGAACGTAAAATTATGTATAGGAAAAAATCAGCAATATTATCTTTCAACAAATGTAATTAAAATGACCTCTTCAGAAAAAATAGTTCCATTTGCTCTTTTGATGGCATCTCCCCTACTTTTTTATAAATGAAAAAAAAAGTAAGAAGGAATCTAACATAGTAAAATAATCCTAAAATATCTAACATAGGGTATTGTCAAGCAGAGACTTGTGAGTAAATCTAAGTTATTAAATATTTTAGGATTGCTCACCAATTTGATGTTTTGCAATGTATTGATGGATGACACGGTAAATCTCTTTCGATGGCATAGTAAATCTCTTTTGATGGCATCTCAACTATATCACACCTCTATTATTGAAGACATAGCAACCTTGTAATCAAATCGTATTAATTCAGAAATGTCAAACTAATGCAACCACACACATTCTTCAAATACAGTCATTACACAACAAACTCTAAAAGTCACGTTTTTTCAAAGAGGACTTTTTAGTTTTGAGAAGGTACAACAATTAAAGTTTGTTAAATTGTCCTTAAGGGTGAAATTGTCCTTAAGGGTGTTGGCTGTAGTAGTTCCTTTGAGAAGTCATATATCATCATTTATTGTTGCAGACATTATGATGCTTATAAGATAGACAAAAAACCTATATTATTTCAGTTCAAAACAACTTTCATACAAAATAAGATGTTAACCGAAGACGTTAAAGTGGCCTGATGGACTCTTCTGAAAGAAGTTTAGATGGAAACCAAAATGTTGTGTTAAGTAGAGCATGACTAACATGTTTCAAACTCACTGACACATGGTGAAATGCAGATTCTAAAAGTAGCTATTAGAATTCTCTTTAATTAATAACTTTGTAAAATAGATTAAATAACTAAAACATTTAGCGCTAAGTAGTAGGAAATCAAAATCTGACTCTACTTTTGATATTCTACCTCTATTTGAGAAGTTTTAATGTCATGTAATATAGTAGTCATTTAAAAGTAGAGTACATATTAGAAAATCGTTGTTAGTTTTTTTAAAAAGACCCAAAGGCTTCATGAATGCATTGGGAAATAACGGCCGCTAAATATAGGCTTAATGATTATTCTGTATTAAATTTAGCAAATCTGTGCAAAACAGTTGGCACACACAGTCCTTGTTTGGTTTAGATTCTAAAAAACTTAAGGTGGCAAGCATCAAGTACTTTCACATGTAATGATAATGATACTAATAGTTAGTTATTAGGAGTTCTAATAGAGAAATAAATGATTGAATACTCCATAAGCTCAAATATTTGCATACGAAGGATTTTCAGAATGAACCAATAAGTGAAACATTTCTATTTCAGAGAAATTGAAATTGTTGTTAATATTAGAAATATGACGGAAGTAGAGAATTAATACTCCATAAGCAAAAAATGCTCCAAAATTAGTCCATATAATTCGTCCTTCACAACCTTGCCAACTATACAAATAGATTGTTAAAAATCATCTTCTCAATTGGAGTTCAATTCCGAAGAAAAAAATCCTTCCGGCTAAAATGTGAACAATCCTATTTTAGAATGTAAGAAACCCATTTTTGAATGAAAAAAAAAATAGTATCATCCAAGAAATATAAAAAAGAAACATTGAAGAGGAGATCAGACCAGAGAAGACGAAAAGTGAAACCTGGTATACCTAGCTGACTCGCTCTGCATTCTTAAAGCAAGAACTACTGACCTGCTCTCATGTATGTAGAAATATCAGCTCACAGTTAGTATCAAGTATCAACCAAATGAAGTGACTTGGTCACCGTCTAAACCTAAATCATACAACAACCTAAATTTAAAGCTAACCTATTCAACTCTATGAAGAAAAATCAATCTTTTGCTTTAGCTCCCTATGATTATTGCTATAGTTCACCAAGTGTTTAAGCAAATGTTTGATGCTATTAGTTCAAAAAATGAGAGAACAAAAAGAAAACATGCTGAACAAGACATAACCAAACAGTTGAATTTGAAAGAATTTAAAAGAGATTTACCTATTAACCTCTAAGAAGAAAATCAGTCATTTGCTATACCTCCCTACGATTATTGTTGTAGTTCAGCAAGTGTTTAAGCAAATGTTTAATGCTATTAGTTAAAAAAATGACAGAACAAAAAGAAAACATGTTGAACAAAACAGAACCAAAAAGATGCATTTGAAGGAAATCAAAACATATTTACCTATTTAACTCTAAGAAGAAATATCAGTCTTTTGCTATATTCTGAATTTTAAGTTTTACTAAAGAACCCCCAAAAAATGAATCTAGGTTACAAATGAAAAATGCTTGTAGTCAGACAGTTAGTCTCTGCTTCTCCCTACTTTATTCTTCTTCATTTGAAGGCTACAGATGAAAATAAGCATTTTACTATAGAAATAAACTAAACAATCAGTTCAAAGAAAATAAGGCATATGAAAAAAGATATTAGTAAAAAATGTTCATGAAGTGTTTATACAAATGTTTAATGCTATTAGTTAAAAAAATGACAGGACAAAAAGAAAACATGCTGAAAAAACAGAACCAAAAAGGTGAATTTGAAGGAATTGAAAAGAGATTTACCTATTGAACTCTAAGAAAAAATTTAGTTTTTTGCTTTAGCTCCTGATGATTATAGCTATAGTTCAGGAAGTGTTTAAACAATTATTCGAGAAAAGGCAGAGCATCATTTTTTATGAACTGAAAAACTTGATAAAAACATAAGCCAGAGTAAAAATATTTAATCAACTAATTGTAAGAAAGCTGGAAACTAAAGCAAGTATTCAATCAACCTCATCTAGATAACATAGGTGTTGGAAATATGATAATATAAATATTATTGTTTGGGTCGCATTATTGTGTCCTAAGATATAAATGTGTTAAATATGGAGAGGAGGCTGATAATACATCAAAGAATAATTTACATATTTGGATTTAAAGTTAGAATCCATAGTTGTAAAGATTGTAAAGTGATGTATTAAGACAATGAATTTATTTGTTCTGTATTAGAGGATAAACAGTCTCATATGATTATTATTTATAATAATAATGTGATAAGGAACATTGTTCAAGTATCATACAAGATAATGTGACGTTTTAATTTTTCACTTATATGTACACCTGATCGGAGGAATTATAAGTGACGGAATTAACGTCTAAGGTCTAGAGACTCTCTAATTAGTTGAACAATGTAATAGCTGATTGGATTGTGAAATTGAATTCAAATTCAAATAATTATCCTTAATGCTATTGATGAGATCCTTAATGTGGATCAGTTTTTTCCTATTAGTTCTCAATATTTAATTTGATTTCCGTTTCAAAACTACCCCCTGACTGCTTCTTTACTCAATTAAATAAAGAGACCATATTGCATGCTCTCATGTTCACTTTTCAAAAAACGTAAGAAAGCAGAAGTTTAGATACTCCAAAAACTTCCTCTTTGATTTTGTACGCACAAAGGAAATAAAATAGCAGCTATACTCTCTTCTTACGTAACTTTGTTTTTCTTCTGGGAGATCATCTTTGTCTCTAGTTCTTCCATTGAGTTAACTCTATCAATTGGCAAATTTGGCAACGGTCGAAGGTTTCAGTCAAGGTAGCTACAAGCCTGAAACGTGGTAGGATTATCCTGGGAGCGAGCTAGCCAGACCCGTCCGAATAGCTATCGGGATACGGGGGCTATCTTTCTTCAAGGCTAGTCCGTTTTAAGGGCGATCCTACGATAAGTTTTCTTATCTTTTATCTTTATTTATTTTAATTTATTCTAATTATTATTATTATTTTCTTTTCTTGCATTTGGCGGTTTGTCTGGTGATTTGTTTAAACTCGGGATTTTTATCTGGTTAAACTCGCAATTTTTTAATATCATTTTTCTAACAATCTTGAAGAAAGATAATATTTCTCGAGTTTTGGAAAATCCAAAAATGGCAAACTTGGAAAATGTTGTTAACAATGAAACTGTTGGTTTAGAGAATGTTTTTGGTTCCCCTGAAAATGATAATACTATGTCTGCCACTAATTCACAAGGTACACCTGAATATATTGCTACGGGCTCGCACAGGGTGGATTTAACCGGTATGCCTGAAAAATTTTCTGGGCAATTTTTCAAGCGTTGGCAACAACGCATGAAAATTTGGTTAATCACCAAGGGCTTGCTTTCAGTGATTATGACGGTGTGTCCCCCCGTTGTTGAATCGGATCCCAAAAGTCTTGAACGCCAAGCTTCATGGCGTGAGAGGGATGAAATTGCAAAAGGCATGATTTTGTTGGGTCTCTCCAACATGTTATTTGATGTCTATTGCACCCTCCACGGCACGACTAAGGACCTTTGGGATGAGTTGGATAGAAAATATAATACTGATGACCACGGTCTTGAAAAATATATTGTTTCTAAATTCCTACGATTTGACATGAAAGAGGGAAAATCAGTTTTAGAACAGACACAAGAATTTGAGCTTATCTTACATTCTCTTCGTGAAGCAGGCATGGAATTGCCTGAAAAATTTAAAGTGATGGCGGTCATAGAAAAATTTCCCAAATCATGGGAAGATTTTGGTATGACTTTAAAACATAAAATGAAAAAGATCACTTGGAAATCTTTGATGCATTCCATTACTGTTGAGGAGGAACATAAGAAAGCGGGTTATATTGCGCCTGTTGAATTTCAACCGAAGGCTCATGTTATAACTGGGGGGAAGCAAGCACATAACTCTAAAAATAAGCAACCATCATCTTTTAAACCAATAAAGGCCAAATTAAAAATTGCAAAGAAACCAAAAGCAAACCGTCCATGCTGGAACTGTGGACAGATGGGGCATTGGGCCAAATTGTGCCCAAATAAAAAGGCTAAGGCTCAATCTGGTGGACCTCAAGTCAACATGGTGACTGGAGGAACTAGTTCCGATGGGTATGTTTCTTTTAACCCTCAAGTTTTCACTATTTATAATTCCAATGAGTGGCTAATAGATACAGGAGCGAATGTGCATGTATGTGCTGATAAATCGCTCTTTGTTTCTTATCAGCCTGCGGTTGGAAGAACAGTGATGATGGGAAACACAAGTGCTGCTAGTGTGCATGGAGTTGGAAAAGTAGAAATAAAATTCCCTTCGGGAAAAATTCTTACTTTGCATAGAGTGCATCACGTTCCCGAAATTAGAAGGAACATTGTTAGTGGTTCCATTCTAGTTAGGGAGGGTTATGAATTGTCTTTTAAATTAAATAAAGTTGTAATTTTATTTGGTGGACTTTTTATTGGCAAGGGTTACTTGTCAGATGGACTTTTTAAGATTGTGGTTGATTATTTGGAATTAAATTATATATCTGAGAATTGTGATTCTTCTTGTTTATGGCATTGTCGTTTGGGTCACGTTAATTTAGATTTTGTAAAAAGAATGATGAATTTAAATTTAATCCCTAAACACTCTATTGATAAAACTAAGAAATGTATGGTATGTGCTACAACTAAACAAGTAAGAAAACCTTATCATTCAATTGATAGAAATTCAGAATTACTTGATTTAATTCATACCGACATTTGTGAGTTTAATGGAGTGCTTACTCGTGACCAAAAGAAATACTTTATCAATTTTATTGATGATTATTCTAAATATTGCTATGTGTATCTACTTAAGGGTAAAGATGAAGCTCTTGAAAAATTCTTAATTTTTAAGAATGAAATAGAGAATCAAACTGGCAAGAAAATTAAAAGGTTAAGATCTGATAGGGGAGGAGAATATACTTCTAATTTAGTTGTACTAGAATGCCAAAAATATGGTATAGTACATGAAGAAACACCTCCTTATTCACCACAATCAAATGGAGTAGCTGAACGGAAAAATAGAACTTTTAAAGATATGATTAACAGTTTATTAGAGAATTCTGGATTACCTAAGTTTATGTGGGGGGAAGCCTTGAATACTGCATGCCATATTCTGAATAGAATTCCCATGAAACATAATGATAAGTGTCCATTTGAACTCTTGACGGGGCGAAAACCAAGTTTGAAATATTTTAAAGTGTGGGGCTGTCTTGCAAAAGTTTTAGTCCCTGAACACAAAAGAAAGAAACTTGGGCCTAAAACTGTTGATGCTATTTTTATTGGTTATGTTGAACATTCTTATGCATTGAGATTTTTGGTTATTAAATCTGAAATTTCTGGCATAGATGTCAATACTATTGTAGAACTTCGTGATGCTACTTTCTTTGAAGATGTTTTTCCAATGAAAATGGGTGTGCCCCAAAATACTTCTTTTAAAAATCAAGAAACCACATTTAATTCAATTCCTTATCAAGTGGGAAAAAATGAAAAATGTGGGGGTAGAATCTAGTAATTCTAGTCATATTGATTTTGAATCAAATGATCTAGATGAGCCAAGACGGAGCAAACGAGCTAGGATCACTAAGGATTTTGGAAGTGACTTTATCACTTACAATATTGAGGGTGATCCAATTTTCTTTAGAGATGCAATGGCCACATCTGAGGCCATTTATTGGAAGGATGCCATTAAAAGTGAAATGGACTCTATTGTTCAAAATGGAACATGGGAGCTCGTTGAACTTCCTCTTGGTTGTACCACTATTGGATGTAAATGGATTTTTAAAAAGAAGTTAAAACCAGATGGAACCATTGACAAATATAAGGCCAGATTAGTTGCTAAGGGTTATAAACAAAAAGAAGGTATTGACTTTTTCGATACATATGCTCCTGTTGCAAGAATGACCACGATAAGAATGCTCATAGCATTGGCCTCCGTATATGGTCTTAAAATTCATCAAATGGATGTTAAAATAGCCTTTCTTCATGGTGACCTTGAAGAAGAAATTTATATGGATCAGCCTGAGGGATTTGTGGCAAAAGGCAATGAGACAAAAGTTTGTAAATTAGTTAAGTCTTTATATGGACTTAAGCAAGCCCCTAAGCAATGGAATGAAAAATTTGATAAAATAATTTTTTCGTCGTTTGGATTTACTCTTATAGATGCTGATCAAAGTGTTTATTATAAATGTAAAGGTGATGTAAGTATTATTTTATGCCTATATGTTGATGATATATTATTATTTGGCACTAATGATAATATTATTTTTGAGACTAAGTCATTTTTGAAAACTAAGTTTGAAATGAAGGATATGTGGGTGGATGAAGTAATTCTTGGACTAAAGTTGATTAGATCAACTGAAGGCATTTCTATTTCTCAGTCACATTATATTGAAAAATTAATTGAGAAATTTGGATTTAAAAATAGTAGAATTGCTAAAACACCTTATGATCCTTCAGTAGCTTTGTATAAAAATGAAAGTGGTGTTCCTGTGTCTCAATTAAGATATTCTCAGATGATTGGTAGCTTGGGTTACTTAGCTAACTGTACTAGACCTGATATTGCATTTTCAGTGTCTAAAATGAGTCGGTACACTTGTTGTCCAAACAGAACTCATTGGGAGGCCTTAAATAGAGTATTTAGATACTTGAAAGGAAATATTTCCTTGTGTTTGCATTATGGTAAATATCCTCTTGTTCTTGAAGGATATAGTGATGCAAGCTGGATAGCTAAGAACTCTGGGAGTTATGGGTGTACTGGCTATGTGTTTACATTTGGTGGTGGGGCTGTTGCCTAGAAGTCCACTAAACAAACTGTACTTTCTCGGTCTACTTTTGAGGCTGAATTATGTGCGTTGGATACTACAGGAATTATGGCTGAATGGTTTATGGGACTAATGTCCGAGTTACCTATATTCAGCAAACCAATTCCACCTATTTGTTTGCATTGTGATAGTATGAGTACAATTGCAAAAATTAGGAGTACCAAGTATAATCAAAAGACTAGGAGACACATTCAAGTTAGATTAAAAACTATAAGGAAATTTGTGTCTCAGGGAGTGTTTGCTGTTGAGTTTGTTGGATCCAAAGATAATACAGCAGACCCTTTAACAAAAGGACTTGATTTAAATCAAGTGATAAAATCAAGGTTAGGAATGGGACTGAAACCCAATAATTATTCATCTACGGTGGCAACCCAACCTATCTGAGTGGAGATCCCATGAAGTAGGTTCAATGTGGTATAAACAAACTGTAGAGTGAATTGTGCATCTCATTAAAAATAATTTTATGAGTTATATTCCTTGATAAGCCTTAGAGATGCTGAAGTTGCTAAGTTAGTAAGAGTTTAAGACTCTGAATGGGATCAAGCTTTAACAGCAGAGTGTTAGCAATGCACTCTTGGAGATGCCCAACTATGAGAATGTTATTGTGTGGCCGCAATAATAGAATAAGGGTTAATTCTCGATGACATTCTTGAGACAGGATAAGGACGCATGGCCGTAAAAGCGTCACCCCTATAGATCGTTGCCATTGCCTTTAGTGTGTTGCTTTTATCCTACGCCACCACAACCAAGGTTCGAGTTCAAGAACTCTGTTCACTCTGTTCCTGTGGGGGTTAGGGGTAAGAGATTAGAAGTTGGTTCAAACCGGAAGGTACCATATTCGAAAGCACACTATGTGTATTAGAGTTGAGTCTACAACTATGGATTTGTGGGGGATTGTTGGAAAAATGATAATATAAATATTATTGTTTGGGTCGCATTATTGTGTCCTAAGATATAAATGTGTTAAATATGGAGAGGAGGCTGATAATACATCAAAGAATAATTTACATATTTGGATTTAAAGTTAGAATCCATAGTTGTAAAGATTGTAAAGTGATGTATTAAGACAATGAATTTATTTGTTCTGTATTAGAGGATAAACAGTCTCATATGATTATTATTTATAATAATAATGTGATAAGGAACATTGTTCAAGTATCATACAAGATAATGTGACGTTTTAATTTTTCACTTATATGTACACCTGATCGGAGGAATTATAAGTGACGGAATTAACGTCTAAGGTCTAGAGACTCTCTAATTAGTTGAACAATGTAATAGCTGATTGGATTGTGAAATTGAAATCAAATTCAAATAATTATCCTTAATGCTATTGATGAGATCCTTAATGTGGATCAGTTTTTGCCTATTAGTTCTCAATATTTAATTTGATTTCCGTTTCAAAACTACCCCGTGACTGCTTCTTTACTCAATTAAATAAAGACACCATATTGCATGCTCTCATGTTCACTTTTCAAAAAAACGTAAGAAAGCAGAAGTTTAGATACTCCAAAAACTTCCTCTTTGATTTTGTACGCACAAAGGAAATAAAATAGCAGCTATACTCTCTTCTTACGTAACTTTGTTTTTCTTCTGGGAGATCATCTTTGTCTCTAGTTCTTCCATTGAGTTAACTCTATCAATTGGCAAATTTGGCAACGGTCGAAGGTTTCAGTCAAGGTAGCTACAAGCCTGAAACGTGGTAGGATTATCCTGGGAGCGAGCTAGCCAGACCCGTCCGAATAGCTATCGGGATACGAGGGCTATCTTTCTTCAAGGCTAGTCCGTTTTAAGGGCGATCCTACGATAAGTT